CGCCCCCGCCACCGGGCCGCCTCCGCCTCCCCCGCGGTCCCCGTGCACTCGGCCCGGCGGCGGGGTCGTGCTGGCCCCGGAACCGCCCCAGGCCGCGGCGCTAGCTCGGAGCTGCCCTTGCTTTGGCCGGCCGGGCGAGCCTTGCCGCCTTGTGTGCCGCGTCTCCGCTCCCCGCGAGCTCTGTTTCAGCAGCGGGGCAGTCCCCCGGCGCTGCTCTGGGCGAGGCGGCCGCTCCGCTCCCAGGATCCGTCCGGAGAGGATCGGCTCACAGGGCCGGAGTTGAAGGTCTTCGTTCTCTGGATCTTGCCTCGTTGTGGCTGCTTATTTTTGCAAAGGACCCGACAAAGTCAGCCATGAGGGGACGTTTCATCTGTTCTTTACTAAAAAAACTTTCTTCACAGATAAAAGTAGAGCATCTTGATTTTGTTTCCATATATCTGTTGCTGTTTTCCTATTCCGTTTTTCATCTTAACATTGCACTTGACTTTTCAGGTTAAGTATTGTAAGGTGATGCTTATTTCTTATCAGAATACCGTGTATGGCCAGTCATCTGGGAGGTTGATACACTGTTAGCTTATATTGAGAGAGATACTGAACAAGGAAGGTGGCTTGTTTTGCATCAGCTTCATTTTCTTCGTGGTTTTGCATCTTCAGCAGTAGGGGATTGCGAGAGAACTTTAAATAACATACTGGATACCAGCCATCTAAAGGATGACGTCTGGGTCAGCGGTAGCAAGGAGAGAAAAGAACAAGGAAGGTTATTATGACAATGATTTAGTGAGCCATCATTCCCCTCTCAGCTCAAGGTCCTAAGAGTGGTGATGTCCAGGGAACCTTCTCAGGAAATCTGGCCTTCATACGGGGCCTGCGGCGAGTAGATCTGATAGGAAATGGGGTTTCACTCGCCCTTAATTTTTGGTTTTTCCTGGTATAGTTCTAGGCCTATCCTCTTCTTCACGTTTTCCCAAGCTGTGCAGACTTCACCGTACCTGTAGTTTGGCAAAGCATGAACAGCGTGAGATGTGCTGGAGTTGTTTCCAGTTTTGCAAAAATAAAGAGTTCAGTTCATCTCCATGTATGAAGCATCTCCTTCCCCACCATTTACCACTAGAAAGCTCCTTTTAATAGAGGTAAACAAGAACCATCAGTTTGAAATAGTTGATTATAAATGGCTTCAGATACTATGCCGGATGCCCTTTGCAATGCCCTGCCCCCACACACTGCCCACTTAAAAATGTGTCCTATTTGTATGTGAATAGCTGCACACATGTAGAGGAAATGGACTTGCTGGAATTTCTGTAGTATATAAATGCTTTGCTGAAATACTGCACATTGAGGTCTCTTGAAACAGCAACCAAGTTAGGATGGGAATGTTTATTGGGGTAACTGACACTGAAATGCCGAAAGTAAACGGCAGAAATAAAAATGTTGTGTAAACTTTTGTTCCTCATAATCTTAAAGCAAAAGTCCAGAGGTAAGGGAAGAGGCTGGGGACCTGGATGAAAACCTAGTAAGGGGGAGCAATTACAGAAGCCATAGCAATGTTCGGGGAGGGGGAGAAGATGGGATAGACAGGTACCAGAAATATTCATCCACTAGTGTGAGAAGTATGGGAGCAAACAGGAAGTGTTTGAGGTCCTAGTACAAACACAGAATTAAGATGTAATTGGGATTATGGAGATGTGGTGGGATAGTTCCCAAGGCTAGAATACTGCCATGGTTGAGTATCACGTGTTCAGGAAGGACCAGTGAGGGAGGAAAGGAGGAGGTGTTGCCATATATGTAGAGGAGGCATGCATGTCTCTGGAAATGCAACAGGCGGCCGCCCCCCCCCCCCATCCAGTTTGTGCCGCAAGCCTTTGGATGAGAGTCATGAGAGAGCAGCAGGGTGGGATGTCATGGTGGGTGTTGGTTACAGGCCTCTAAAACCCGGAGGTTCCAAGCCTCAGGACATGTTTCTCATGGGCATTTGAATAGTTGGTATCTCTGCTGAGAGGGAAGCACAGCAATGCATCAGCAGTCCGTCAAATGGCTGCAGTTTTGGGGATAACTTTTTGATACCGATAGTAAAGGAGCCAACTAGGGGAAGCTGTTCTTGACTTGCTGCTCACAAACAGAGGAATTGGTTGAGCAGGTGAAGGTGGAAGGTAACTTGGGTGACAGCATCCATGAAATGATGGAGTTAAAGGATCCTAAGTGGAGGAAGGAAGGAGAATGGCAGACCAAGGACACTGGGGTTTAACAGGAACTGGTGAACAGGATCCCCTGGGAAGCAAATCTAAGGAGAAAAGAAGTCAAGAGCTGGCTGTACTTTAAGGAGACCCTCTTAAGAGCCTGAGAGCAAGCAATCCCAATGCGATGGAAGAATGGGATGTGAAACAGGAAACCGGCCTGACTAGACTACAGTCTCTTTGCTGAGTTGAACTTGAAAAGGAATCTTGTAAAAAATGCAAACATGGTCGTAGTACTAGGAAAGAGTATAAGAGTTTTGCACAGGCATGTGGGGAGAAAATTAGGAAGGTTGAGGCACAATTTGGGATGCAGCTGGCAAGGGACATAAAAGGCTGTAAAAAGTGTGTCCAAAGTAAGACGAAGACTGGAGAAATCATAGGTCCCTTACAGAAAGCAGAAGGCAGTCTAGCTATGGAGGATGTAGGGAAGGCTGAAGTATTTAATGCTTTTTTTACTTTAGTCTTCACAGATGGGGGCAGCTATCAAATGATGAGTACCGTTGGCAACAGATAAGGGAGGAGGTAAACAGCCTAGAGCAGGGGTGGGCAAATCTGGCCCACGGTGGACTCCATTTCCCAGCAGCCCCATGCAACGGCAGCTTCTGGCTGCTGCTGTCAAACCCAGCCCATCCTTCCCGCGTGCGCAGCTGGGAATGGGGCTGCGGCCAGGAGTGAGACAGGCGAGGGGAGCCAGGGAGACCTTGGGATCTGGGTAGGGGAGGGGGAAAGCAGGGCAGAGCTGCAATCTGCCTGCATGGCCCTGCAATGAGCATGGGTTGCGTCGGCAGCAGATTGTGGCTCCGTCCCTGTGCTGTCAGCGCTGCAAGATCCCAGTCCTGGGGCAGCTCCTGCCCACACTGCTCCATGGAGTAGGGCTGGGAGCAGCACAGGCAGGGGCTGCTGGGAAATGGAATCCAGCTACTGCGTGGATCTGCCATTTTGCCCATCTCTGGCCTAGAGCAATGGCAGAATACATTGGGGATTGTTTGAAGAAGCTACTAGACCAACGGTGACCAAACTGGCTTGCTGGCATGGTACTTGTGGCTCTCTGGAAATTGGCTGAAGCGCCGCCCACTTCTCCCTTAGTCGGCTGCAGGGGTAGCACAGCCTGGCATCTCCTGCCACTGGCTTTCCTTGTGGGGAGTGCACCAGAGGAAATTTAGTTTGGAGATTGGGAGGATGTTTCCGACTATAAGTGTGCTCAAGCATTGGAACAGGCTGTCTAGGAAAGTTGTGGAATCTCTGTCCTTGCATGTTTTTAAGAACAGGTTGGACAGACATTTGGCTGGGATGGTTTAGTCTGGGGTGATCCTGCCTTGAGCTAGGGATTGAACTGGATGACCTTGTGAGGTCCCTTCTGGCGCTGCCTTACTATGATCCTGAGAGTCATAATGACAATACAGTATCTTCCAAGGGAGCTTACCAGGGCAAACTTTCTCTGGGATGAGTGGATTGATTAATCTCTGCTTAACAGTATAGTGTCTGTGTTCAGTCTAGAAGTCTTTTCTGTGTCAGGGTCTGTGCCTTTGGTTTTAATGGCCAAGTAGACTTGTGTGATATTTGTCTCTGGTACACGTATTTAAAAAAAGAAAATCCCACTTTCTAGCCTAAGTAACCACTTAGAATTAATAGCATATATTCTGGGGCATAAGATACACCACTGTATGAAGTACCAGTTGTGGGGAAAAACTTTCAATTGTATTTATTTAATTTTTGTCAACAGTTATTAGTTATTACAGTTTGTGTTACATAACTGGCACATATAGCACCTTCATTGTAGACTTTCCTCAGGGAGGGGACAGAATATGCTTTATGCACCGGAAAAATGTAATAAGTCTTTACTTACTCCTTTCTTTGAAGGCCTGAGAGAACACTGACTATAGTGCACGCTGCAAGACAGTAGGGACAAATTTATTTGTTTTAACGTAGTTTGTATTTCTGTTCTGTCTTATTTCTTGAGTTCTTTGCATGAAATCCAGATATACTTTTCCTTCTGTTTTGTTTAGCTATCTGTTAAAATTGGAAGCTCTGCTTACGTTATAAACAGGGTTTAGCTTTAGGTAAGAGGATAAGCACATTCAACCTGTGCTCGTAACAAGGTTCCTCCTATGAAGAGGAAATGAAATATTGCCAAAGTCCCTTTAAAAGAATTCCTTTGTGTCGTATCCCTAAATCTGTTTACTAATTTGGTAGTTTGTATCTTATTTATTTTTTCTGACCCTTACAAAAGGGGAAGCAGGGGATGGTGACTGAAGTGCTTTTGAAAATAAGCGATCCTGTTCATGTTGTAGATTGTAAACTCTTGCATGCTTTCCAATACAGAGTGAGAAGGGAATAGTCTATTGTGAACTAAACATGTATGTTAATGCTAGAAAATTCCTAAAAGTAAGCTGAGCTCAGGATATAGATGTTTAATGTGTCAGGCACTAGTCCTTTATGTAGTTTCAAACATTTTCATCCTTTAATTTTATACACCATATTTTTACATCTTTTTTGTTTCCGTTTTCTAACTTTTTGTTTTCCCCCCTTAAATGTTTTGGTGATTCTCCAGAACCAACGAAACGTATGCTTTCCTTCCAAGGGTTAGCGGAGTTGGCTCATCGTGAATATCAGGCAGGAGACTTTGAAGCAGCTGAGAGACATTGCATGCAGCTTTGGAGACAAGAGCCTGATAATACTGGCGTGCTTTTGTTACTGTCGTCCATTCACTTCCAGTGTCGCAGGCTGGACAGGTAGGGACTTGAAATGTGTCTTCATATTTTTGTGTTGTCCATATACTGCTTATGAAAAGAGAATTCTGCTCCACAGCTGTGAGAAGTGATGTTCTAACTTCCAATTTATTAGAACTTTTATTTGTGTTGCTTCTTTATGATGGAGAGGATCAGTGTATTAGTCATAATCTTGTTCTATTGGACTTTTTCTTAATGGTGAAAAGGTCCTCAGTTTGCAGTTGTTGGCTGTGTAGATCTGCCCCCCCCCCCCTTTGCTTCTCCAGTGTTTCAGAGACTACGTGAATGAAAGTTAGAAGATGTTTTTCGACTGCTCTGAAAAGGCAGACTAAGGAACCTTGAAACAGTTTTTATTAAGCTGTCTTAAAGCTTTGCTTTTGTGCCTAAAGTAACTGAACAGGATAGACATATATTCCTTTAAATGGATTGCTTTGTTTGTCACTGGTTGTGTTGGAGTGATGTAGCCATCATGGTCGAGGAAATATGTGAGGGGCAAGGAATTTTGTGCGTGATAACTTTTTATTTGACCAACTGCATGGCAGGGATAGACTTCAACAGGCTTTCAAATGTAGTACATTCTTCTTTGGGTCACGTTTGTGCCTGAAATTTATACCTTTCCCTAAAACATATTTGTGATCCTGGTGAAAATCCCTTGGTCCCTGGAAGTTGACCGAGTGCTATACTCTGAACTTGCCTTTCTGCATAGCCTTTAAGCATTGGACAAATTGCCAGCTGTTGTTGAAACATAGCTTTTGTGTGCTTTGGGTGCACTTGTTTACATTTTTGTCTCTGGAGTTAATGTTACAAGCATTTCATCACCCTAATGACTGGGATTCATTTTACATAACTTATTTAAAGTGTAAAAATATTTCCCAGGTACAGGGAGGAGAAACATTCTATACTTAGTTCTCCTTGCTGCGTGTTACCTCCTAAAAGGAAAGCAGGGAGCATGTTAATTAAGGCTCCTGGCACACATTCAGTTGAAGGGGCAAGTGGATCTGCTCTCACATTGTAAGAGTTGCACTTTCTGCCTTGCACGTGTGGCATGGCAGGATGCATGGTTTTGCAATTGGGGATCTCATGAATTACTACTTGCTGGTTCCCCCTTACACTAGCAAGTAGTAAGGCAAGTGCCTAGTGAACTGATGTGAATCAGCTGATTGTTATCTCAGCCCCTGGACCTCATTGGAGCTGGTTCAAGATTCCAGTACAGTCCCAAGACTGAGACTGGCATTCAGTTCATTACAAGTCCCAGCTGTAGGACTGTATTGAGGCCAGTCCCAGAGCCCAGCCATGCAGCCTGTGTTAGGCTCCATAGCGGAAACCCTGCTACACATTCAACATAAGGTGCAATGGACACCAGCCACAGAATATTACGCACATTTTGTGGCTTATTTTCTGCTTAATCATGCCATTAATTTCCTGAACAAATGTCTGGGTTACTATTTAAGTTACAATCAACAAGTTAATAGCATCTTAAGTGTAATGTCTGCCAGGGACCTAAGTTGAATGCAGTGTTCCAGAGACCACTGTTGGTCCTGATGTCCTTTGGAACTATAGTTGGCTTTAGGCTTGAGCATATGTTAGAAGCCTTGCAAAATGCTACATAAAGTAGGTACTTCCTCTTCAGTTCACATAAACTGTCAGTGCTCTGAGGGTGGAGTAACTGATCTTGCTCTAGAACACATTTCATTTTCAGGATTGTTTGGCAACTTGGGTTTAGTTGTTTTATGTTTTTGGCTGTAAATCCCAGTAACTGGCAAACAAAATTGTTTTTGTGTTAACCTGTTTAATCTTCTCCAGGTCTGCTCACTTCAGCACTTTGGCTATTAAACAAAACCCATTGTTGGCCGAAGCCTACTCGAATCTAGGAAATGTGTACAAGGAACGTGGGCAGCTGCAAGAAGCTATTGAGCATTACAGGCATGCGCTGCGTCTCAAACCAGATTTCATTGATGGCTATATTAATTTGGCTGCTGCACTGGTAGCTGCTGGTGATATGGAAGGAGCAGTACAGGCCTATGTGTCTGCCCTTCAGTACAATCCTGTAAGTAACACTGTTCATGGAGTTCACTTCTTTTTTTTTTAACCTAACCTTCAAGAAGGTTTGCTGCTTCATGACAAATTTCTGTCTGCTTTTGAATTATGCAAGTGCTCATAGAGTAATGAATGATGCATACTTGGCTGTAATTCTTAAAACTGTTTTATTTGTAATTCTTGAAAGGTAATTTCATCCTTTGTTTGAGTTGTCTATGAATGCATTCTTCTTGGAATTCTGTAATACTGCTAGTTTTGTGCTTGTCTTTGTAATTGGTTTAACAAAGACAGGAATATGGGTGTCCCCCCCTCTGCCCTGCCACTTGCACTTGTCTCATCTGAAACTGACCTTGATATTTTTGACCTAATTGGGAGAAATCAGTAAGGGAATGAGGAGACATTGATGTCTGGTTTGAGAACTGGGAAAATTGCACTATCATTTAACTTTTGAAAACCTTTTAAATTATACTTTGCAATAGTTCTAAGGTTCTTTGGAACCTTTACATGTAGTTATTTGTAATAAGGGAAAGTAGCAAGTAATGCTGCTGTTGCTTATTAGATTGGTGTTATTTTGCTGCTTTCTTATAGCAAAAAGTATTTTTATTTCAGCTAAAAGTGTTCATTACTGGTTTCCAGTATAAAAGAGTTGGCAAAAACGTAGCCATTTGAGTTACTAGGCTTAAACTTGATGTTGAAATATCTAGCAGGGTTAGTCTTACCTCAATCCTGGGTAAGCTTTTTGAGAGAATTATTCTGGCACATGTCCACGAGGGGCCAGCAGCGGAGATTATACTTGGGGGCAACCCACATGGGTTCATTAGAGGCAGGTCCTGTCAGACCAACCTGGTGGTCTTCTATGACCAGGTCACAAAATCCTTAGATGCAGGGGTAGCAGTGGACGTAGTCTTCCTGGACTTCCGGAAGGCCTTCGACACTGTCTCTCACCCTGTTCTCATTAAGAAACTGGGGGACTGTGGTGTCAACACCTACATGGTCAAATGGGTCGCCAGCTGGCTGGAGGGGCCGCACCCGGAGAGAGGTGGTGGGCAGGTCATTGTCGACCTGGAGGGATGTGGGCAGTGGGGTCCCCCAGGGCTTGGTCCAAGGGGTCGCACTGTTGAACATCTTCATCAGCGACTTGGACGAGGGGGCAAAAAGCACCCTGTTCAAATTTGCTGACGACACCAAGATATGGGGGGATGTGGGCACGGTAGAAGGAAGGAATAGGCTGGAATCGGACCTAGACAGGTTACAAGGGTGGGCAGAGGAGAACAGGATGGCATTCAACACTGACAAGTG